TAAAAACCATCCAAATGTCTCAACTGAAAATCATCCTCATCGCCAATGTAAAGTACTGGGTGCGCTGGTTACAATTACACAACTAACAACCTTTAGTGAATTATTTCCCACTTTTTAAATACGTACTATCTAAATCTTTATAACACCTAACAACACCTACTACCAGTTATGAAATGCATAATGAAGAGGTAATTCCCTTGACACTACAGTTATGTGAGGTAAGATTTCATATGCTCTGGGTTTGTTTGTATCTCTTTATGTATATCTGCTTATGTACATACGTTATATACATACATTAAGTTTTCAAACCATTCTTAAATCTCTCACTCAGATGTCCTTTGCTTTAAAATTGGCAGTTTCCATCCTGGTACCGAATTTGACCTCAGCCATCTTTAATGATTAACAAGGTCATGTGACATAGTTGTGCAAAGGGTCTATCACATGCACATGCACAAAATGATCAAGAAAGACAGAATTGGGCCTTTTTCCAAAAAGAAAGTATTTTTTTAAGGGCAACGCCATAAGAACCTAAAAGTGACAACTCCCAAAGCAGAGTTACTTGTGGTATGATACGATTAGGAACTTTACTCGAACAAAAACCAAATACACGCCACTTATGTCCTTGTGTTTGACTGCTGTGGAGGTCACATTCTCTTCAAGGATTGGACTGGTTTTCTTTTTTCATTGACAGGTGAAAGGCGCACAGCAATACTTTATCTGTCTCGGGTTTGCTACCAAACCAAAAAGGAAGGGTCCACTCTTGTTGTTCTCCAGATGCGGACTGTTTGGATAAGGTACTATTTGTCTCGAAGATAATATCCAAGAAAATAGATTTTAACTCTTGTGCTACTTTGAGCTGATTGCGGGAAAAATATAGTTCTTAAGAGGAAAGGTTTAATTGTCTTGTTAAACTGCAGGTTTTCGTTATTTCTTTGGCTGAGCTGTCTGGTCACTAATGATGAAATATGGAAGCACTCAACAGGATAATTGGTAAAGGAAATAATAGAACTCTACAGTGTTAAAAGGAAGGGGTGCGAGATTTTTAGAGAAAGCTAGAAAGAAAAAGCAGTAGTGACTTCTTGCAGTGGTGGCGGCCAAAGCAAAGAAACATGAGTCAGATTCTCTTTAGGGCAGAAATGTACAGTTGGAAGTTGTCGGAACGAAAGACAACAGCATAAATTGTCAGAACTAAAGAAAGATGGTTTTCCAAAAAA